CATTAGCTCAAAAAACAAACAAACAAACAAACAAAAAAATACAGGAGGATTTTTTTTTTTTAACAAAAATGTATTTCCTCTTAATTCTACCAGTCCTTCCACTGCTCCTTTGCGAGGGATTATGGTTTGCCGCGTGTGGCTGAGCCCCAAAGTTTATCTCACTGGCACGGGGGGGTTATACCCACAGCACCCACCCTTTAAGCACCCTTTGTTCGCCCTGCATACACAGAGGAAGGCAGCGAGTCGGCTTGCCGGCCCCATCAGAGAGCGTAACCCGGAGGCTTGGGGACTCACGCTCCCATGGGACCTGCGAGGAAGCACGTGGTGGGACAAGCTGCTCCCTCCAGCTCCCAGGGGAAGTGGTGTTGGGCAGTGAGAAGGGATGCAGGAGGACGATGTGGGATGCCCAACCAGCGCCTTAGGAAGTGCTGCAAGCGCTCGGACGTCTGAGACCCTGCCTCTTGCCTCTGCTGCTGCCCAGCACCAGAGGTCATGAGAGGATGCTTATAACATTTAACAAGTGCTTAAAGCTGTTGTTGCGTTTCCTTCAATTAAACTTCCAAGTGGGATAAGGCAGGGGGACTTCGTTTTCACACAGCCCTGCTGCTGGCCCCGCAGCTAGACTCGGGAAAAGAGGCTGAGGCTGCAGGGATGGAGGCGCAATGTCCCCAGCTGCCTTGGGGGGGACACTGGGGCAGAGTGTGTCACTCATGGACAGGACCTGGAGGGACGTACAGAGAGACAGGAGAGACAGCAGTCCCTCGAGCCTCTGGCAGAGACAAGGACAATGGTGCTGCATCAGAAACAACAGCTCAGGTACAGGGAGCAAGTTCTGAGATTTCTGCTGCAGAAAGTCCAGGTGACAGGTCTGGGCAGCCTGCGGACAAGGTATCTGTCATGCAAAGACCTCCAGCTGACCACAGCTACCTTTAAAAACTCTTTCTCGAGAAAAGCCACTCAGTATTTCACTTCTTCAAGGCCTGTGAGGGCTTGGAGAAGTTGCTGAAGCAGAATGGAAACACTCTGCTTAGTCTTTTAAGTGTAAAATAGCAGGATTAAATGCGGCTTTTGATGTAAGCCTCAGCTCCATCTTCAAGGGCAGTGCCGAGTCCCCTCCAGCCCTGCCTGGTGCCTGTGTGCTGAATCACTCCGATGCTAATGTAAATACAGCTCTTTGAAAAAGGCAAATGTTTTCTCAGCTGCTCTTCTTCCTTTCAAAAGATGGGCTGATTGGAATTTTTATGTCTGTAGACATAAATACGGACAACCAACAAATGCTTCTCGGTAAGAAGCTGTCTTCGCAAGATAACTGCTTTTTGGAAAGCACGTCATGAATCCCTGGGCACTCTTGGAAAACACTGTTCTCCTTTCCTTCAGTGCCCTACATTTCATGAACTCCTAAACGAGCTGGTCTAAGCAACTGCAAATTAATCTTGCTTAGCACGTTGTCACTGCAGGCTCACGATGTCCCCAGCACCTCGCTTCTGCTCAGCCTTGTGGCATCAGCAGCCCCTCAGGGCACCATGCGGGGTGTCTGGAGGAGCTGGGGCCGTGCCAGGCCGCCCTCTGCAGCAGCAGGGAACGAGAGCTGGAGCTGGGCAGTGATGGGGCAGCCTTCCTGCTGCCCGTGTGTGCTAGACTTGGGAGGTCTGACCACCGTCAACCACAGCTCTGCTCTCCTCTGCCTTCATTGGGAACGGGACATGGGCACTCACCCTCCACCACCTGCCCTGCTGGCGGTGGTGCTCTTAGGTGGTGCTCCCTGGGCAGCCCCTCCAGGCCGTGGGCTAAAGCCCACTCTTCCCCCGTGCTCTTTCTCTTGGTGGCACACAGTGTGGTAGTATGGCTCTGAAGGATGCCTTGGAAATGTCCCCCGAGCCTGAGGCAGCCTCCTCGGAGGCCACACCATCCCCTCCAGCTTGGATGTTTGTCCCCAGCTGCAGCACTCGTGGCCATGTCTTTTACCTCCCCTTCCATGGCCTTCTCGGCACCAGCCAGGTCCCCATTTCACAGCAGCTCACTGCAGCAGAAATTAATGTGCTTAACACAGAGACCTCCCACTCGGCCACCCCACACAGCGTCCTCATTTCCACCACCGCCATCACTCCTACAGAAAACCTCAAGAATGTGAACGCGATGTCAAAATAACACAGGGGATGCTACGGACAGAATTATTTTTTTTTCTTAATTAATCTTGCTTAAATTTGAGCAAAGCTGCTGTGCTGTTTTTTCCAGTTTTCCCACCAACATGCTGCAGACATTGTGAAGGATGGCTCCTAATTTAGATCCAGATAGCTGCAGACTCCAGTAGGTTTACTGCTTGTAATAATATACAGCCTTGGCTTCGCTTAGTGTCTCCACTGCTCTCCCTCGGAGATAAAATGCTATATTGACCGTGTAAGTATTTTTAGCAGTGCTGTTCTTCTCCAGTTAAGCCATAAAAACCAAGGGTGCAGACACTGGAAGTAATGTCTGTAATTTACCACGAACCACAGCCCCCTGGCTCACAGCAGCCTGCTAATACCAGCCAGGGACCAGCCGTGTGTGCTGAAACCCCGAGGGCAGACACTGCTCAGCAGGCAGGAGAGGCTCTGAACACAACACACTGCTTTCCCTGTTGTTTGCTCCCTTCCCAGTTCCCATCCTGCTCTCTCCTTTCTCACCCTATATGAATGCACACTGCTGGCCCTAATAAAGGGCCTAAAATGTGCTGCCTCATGGGCCATGGCTTCAATACTGCGCTGTGAGGAGTGTCCAGCTCTTCCACAGCACTGATTGCTTTGGGGAGAGTTGCCTCCTCTGGCAGAGAAAACAACCTGTTGGGGTACAGGGGTGGCCACGGGGGTCAGACACCCTTCCCTGGGAGCCCTGCACCAAGAAGGGCAGGAATTTCACCCGTAGAGGCTTGCCAGGCTTCAGAAGGGCAGTTGGGCTGCCTTCTGGCTGAGAAACTGCGAGCAATGTTCTAGAAGCTTACAAATGATGTGATTTTTCTTTTGAAGTGCCAAGGAGATCAAAAGAAAAGTTTTTTTTTTTTTCCTTTTTTTTTTTTTTTTTTAATCTTCAGATTACAGCAAATTCAGGCTTAATTCTGGTGGGAAATGAAGAAATCCACCTGCGTGGTGAGGCACTGACATGAGAGGGTTTCACCCTCGCCATTCTGGTCTCCCCTCTGCAGGGAGGCTGAGCCCTGAAGGCACCAGGGAGCACCAGGCTGGGCACTGCAAGGGGCACCGAGAGCTGCAGGGGACTGCTCCTGCCTAGGGCCCGTCCTCTCCGCTCCCAGCAGGGTGGTGACAGTGAAAGCACCTGGTGTCCTCTGGCGTGCAAACAGTGTGCCCTTCAGCTGGCCTAAAGGGAACACGGCCAGGGC